TAAATGTAGGGGAGGCGGTGAATAATAGACCGAAAGTTTCGTATGCGTTTTTTCGTATTCGTGATTCGGTGGCTCTGATTTGTCAAAACACAATTCAAACCATTTGCTACGGATGCAAAAAACGCAGAAAATCGAACCCAATCCGATTTTTTTTATGACGGACGAAAGTTTCGGAGGCAGTGTGCGAGTGTGATTGACATAACGTAAGGTCACATTTATTTTTTAACGTGCAAAAATTTCGGACACAAATTTCGCACTCGGTGTGCAAGGGCCTTAACCCCTATTTAAAAAAAAAAAACGGTGGCGTGTTCCTTTAAAATACTGATGTTCTGTTCTATAACTCCTCCCCGCGCTCTCTCATTGGCCGATGTAGTTTTCTGTCAGAACACATTCACACCGCAGGATTTTGAATCTCAGATCACGTCTTTGATCATTTACACTGCGCGAAGGGTCGACAGAAGGTTTCACACTGCACGACTTTACTTGCGCGCAGAGATATCGAAGATATTCAGTGCTGGTCACGGCGGCGTGTTGAATAATAGTCTTAATCTGCATTGCTATTTGTACCCATTGCGAATATGCAAACAACAATTAGTAATTCATTTTTGTTTTTATTTTATCACTTTTACTCACGACAAGCTATCCGGCGACAAAGGATTCCACTCATTATGCTAAGCTAAGCTAACGGCGGCGGTTCCAAGCTAAGTGACAAAAATGCATTTGCCTAAATGTAGGGGAGGCGGTGAATAATAGACCGAAAGTTTCGTATGCGTTTTTTCGTATTCGTGATTCGGTGGCTCTGATTTGTCAAAACACCATTCAAACTGTTTGCTACGGATGCAAAAAAACGCAGAAAATTGAACCCGATCCGATTTTTTTATGACGGACGAAAGTTTCGGAGGCAGTGTGCGAGTGTGATTGACATAACGTGAGGTCGTATTTATTTTTTAACGTGCGAAAATTTGGGGCGCGAAATTCGCACTCGTTGTGCAAGGGCCTTAACACCTATTTAAAAAAAACGGCGTGTTCCTTTAAAATACTGATGTTCTGTTCTATAACTCCTCCCCGCGCTCTCTCATTGGCCGATGTAGTTTTCAGTCAGAACACATTCACACCGCAGGATTTTGAATCTCAGATCACGTCTTCGATTATTGATTATCACTCGCGTAAACGAGCACTGATTCGCCGGTGACTTCGGGTATTTCTCGCGATGTCGGAAAAACACTAATGACCCCCGAGAGTCAGGACCTCAGCTTCACGTCTCATCCGAAGGACAGATGACACACAGGTGGAACTAATCACACCACAATGAGTCCAGGCAATGGATTATGGGTAATGTAGTTCATGATGGGATAATGGAGTCGGAGGAGTGCCCTCTGGTGGACATCATTAAATATTAGAAAATCAGAAAGTTTTCTGTTCGGTATAAGGTGTGTGTTACAGTATTTATTGTATAATCTATAATGTAATAATGTGAATCTGTGGTTGTAGGTTACAGTCATGCATCTCTGATGGCTCACTCACACTGCTTTAAACAGGAATCTTTGGCTGTTAAACTGATTATCTCTGCCTGAGTGTGTCCAGCAGCTGTGAGTGTGTGTGTGTGTGACTGATGTCTGTCTGTCTCTCAGAGATGTGTGTGTGTGTGTGTGTATCTGATGTTCATCTGTCTCTCAGGTGTGTGTGTGTGTATCTGACGTCCCTCTGTCTCTCTCTCTCGCTCTCTCAGGTGTCGCAGGACGCGCGTGTGTGTGTGTGTGTGTGTGTGTTCCAGGATGCCGCTGGTGAAGCGCAGCATCGAGCCTCGTCATCTGTGTCACACGGCTCTTCCACACACCATCAGAAATGAGCTGGAGTGTGTGACCAACATCTCTCTGGCCAACGTCATACGACAGCTGAGTAGCCTCAGTGAGTGTGTGTGTGTGTGTGTGAGAAATGGGTATGTGAGGTTTAGGGGTTGGGGTTTAGGGGGATGTGTGTGTGAGAATTACAAAAAATGAGCTTAATAATCATGATAATAACAGGGTTTTCTATGCTGATGCGCTGCTGGTTTGTGTGTGTTTGTGTGTGTGTGTGTGTTCAGGTAAATATGCGGAGGATTTGTTCGGAGAACTCTTTAATGAAGCTCATTCCTTCTCGTTTCGAGTGAACTCACTCCAGGAGAGAGTCGACCGCCTGTCAGTCAGCGTCACTCAACTCGACCCGAAAGAGGAGGAGTGTGAGTACACTCATTTTCACACACACACACACACACACACACTTCAGTCTGTTATTGACTATGATTGAGTTTCTCGACTGGCGAAACTGACAGCATGTTTTCTGGATGCTCGACTGAGCTGAGAAACCTGATCTCACACACACACACACACACACACACACAGAGAGAGAGAGACAGATGCTCGTCTCCACAGACTCAGAATCTGCACATTCTCCACACACACACACACAAAAAATGTAATTTCTGAAAAACCGGGTTGGAACAACGGCGAGCGGTGGGATCATTTCATCACTGAGTGAAGATTAAAACAAAACTAAACTATCGGTTTTAAAGGGTTAGTTCACCCAGAAATGAAAATTCTGTCAGTATTTCCTCACCCTCATGTTGTTCCAACCCCGTAAGACCTTCGTTCATCTTCACAACACAAATTAAGATATTTAAGATATTAAGATCGCTCCTGCATACTAGTCCATAGGCTTCTTGAGGGAATGACTCTTGCTGTCCTCGAAAAATCATTAAAGACATCGTTAAAATAGTCCAAGTGACTACAGGGGCTCAATCTTAACTTTATCAAACGACGAGAACACTTTTTGTGCGCAAAAATAACGACTTTATTTCAACTATTGGTTTATTTCTCCCTCTGCGCGAGTCAGGTTACTAGTTTAATAGCGTAAGCTTCTGTTATTGTACGTCACACGCATCACACACATGACCAGCGTCGGCCAATAGTGAGCCTTCGTGTGACGTAGCTTTACGCAATCACACTACGTTAACTGACTACAGGCCCATGGAGAAGGAAGTGAATAGTTGAAATAAAGTCGTTATTTTTGTTTGTTTTTGTGCACAAAAAGTGTTCTCGTCGTTTGATAAAGTTAAGATTGAGCCACTGTAGTCACTTGGACTATTTTAACGATGTCTTTAATGACTTTTCGAGTCATTCCCTCAAGAAGCCTATGGACTGTATGCAGGAGCGATCTTAATATCTTAAATATCTTAATTTGTGTTGCGAAGATGAACGAAGGTCTTACGGGGTTGGAACAACATGAGGGTGAGTAAATACTGACAGAATTTTCATTTTTGGGTGAACTAACCCTTTATTGTAAAAAAAAAAGAAAAAGAAAGACTCTCTTTTGCTCACCAAAGCTGCATTTATTTGATAAGAAATAGTGAAATATTATTCTAATGTAAATCATCAGTTTTCTATGTGAATATACAGTAAAGTGTAATTTATTCCTGTGATTTTCATCATCATTACTCCAGTCTTCAGTGTCACATGATCCTTCACAAATCACTCTAATATGAGGATCTGATGATCAAGACACATTTATGATTATCATCAGTGATGAAAACAGTTGTGCTGACCCAGGATCTGCATAACACAAACACTACTCCAGAGAGAGAGAGAGAGAGAGAGAGAGAGAAATTGGAAACAAAACCGATCCTAACTACTACAGACTACAGAGGAATCTGCGTAACTAGTGATTTGGGAAAAGTATTTTGTTCTATAAATAACTCTCGGACTTCCTCTGTCTTAAAGCAGCACAATATCAGTTCTTCGACCCCCAGGTCATATTCACAAACTGATGAGAGAGAAAGAGAGAGAGAGAGAGATGTAATGAGACCTCGTCCCTCTCATGCACCTTCACTGTTTTTATGAGCCTGAAACAATTTCAATGACAGCGTGCTCGGTGAACTCCAGTGTCTGTAAACGGGTTTATTACGCCTCAGGCCGGGTCGATCCACTAAAGCGGCGGCTCTCGTCCCTGAGGATAAAAACTGTAATGGTGAAGAGAGAATCACTGAGGAGATCCGGCTCGGCGATCCGTGTCGGGTCATCCGTCAATCCAATCCTGCTGAAGATCCGAAGTGAAAAGCCCTGGAGGACCTGCAGCACTTTACGTGGATCTGGACGTGGTGAACATGTCCGCGGAAATTGTTTTGCAAATGAAGAGTTTAGATGCAAAAGCCTCTAATGATGATTTTTATCAAACTAAGTTCAGTAATTTCATTTAAATGGCAATGTACTGAACTTAAATATACAAGTTTGATAAAAAAATCATCATTAAAGAAGAAAATTTCAAATGGCATTTAGAGGCTTTTGCATCTGAACTCTTCAAATATTATGCATGCAAAACATTCAATTAAAATCCTGAAATCAACACTAAAAACATTCAGGGAATGCATGAATTAAACGAAATAAAAATAAGATTAAGTTAAAATGCGAGAACAGCAGCTCGTGAGAAAAAAACAGATGCTCATATGAACACAATTCATATTTGAAATGTTTTAGGATTCATGGAGAAAATAGAAAACCACATTTTTTTGACCAAACGGACGGGACGCATCTGATCTGAATCAGCAGTGAACCGAGGCAAATTACGGCTCGATCAGTCACTCGTGGAAACAGATGGAGAAACCGCTCTAGTGCTGCAAACACACTGTTGGTTTGTGGGTTGTTTTACGATAAGTCTTACGAACTATCTCTGAGCAACACAGAACATTAGGGAAAGAACTGAGAGAGAGAGAGAGAGTAAAAAAGAATAAAACAACATACAGATTAATAGAGAGGTAATAGTAAAAGACTGAAACACCACAGATTAGTTACAGTATATTCGTAGTATCTTTTCATAAATCTACCAAAACAAATAAAGCGTAATTGAAAGACCCTGAACATTGCTCACGGAGCAGTTCAATTGCATTTGCATTCAGAATGAGCTAATTATCCTAAATTACTTTAGCGGTAAGAATCGTCCTTATTGTCTGGCAATAATTGGGACAATTAGACATTTAAAACGAGGATTATTAGCGGCTCTCGGTTCAGCTGCCACTCAAATGATTAAATTTCCCATCAACCTTAGTGTCACCAGCTGCCTGTTAGCAAAAGACAAATAAAAGAGTGATGGAAACACACCTGGATTCACAGTGAGATTGTTTCACGACTTTTGAGATGAAACCTCACTTGAGGTGGTGCTTTACAACAAAAATTAAAGTTTAGATTATGTTAAATTTAAGTTTTGATTGACTTGCAGCTTTTTTAAATCAATGTCAACAGCAATATAAAATAAATACTTTCAATAATGATCACCATATTTGAAAAAAATATCATATAGACAAATTTAGTTACAAATTTCACTTTTTCTTTACAATTTTTTTGCGTTACAGCGCCCCCTATCGCTATAAATTAATGAGATTTGGCACGTTTGCTCAGACTGTCCTGATGCCCGCTTGCACCAATTTTTGTGAAGTTTGGACTTTCCATTAACCGTTTACAGATCAATTAGTCATTATGGGTCACATTTGAAACATGTTGGCGCGAATCTGCCAAGCAATTTGATTAAATCTGATAATAAATTAGAAACATCTCTTGATATTACATGGTAAACTTAATGCACATTGTTGGACCAGTGGATAAGTAGTATAAATTAGGTTCTGTGAAAAAAAGTGGCAGAAAAATTTCTTTGGGAAAATGTAAAGATGTCCCAGTTTAGACTTGATGGCGGATTCTGTGGTTCTTGAGACTGCTGTGGATATTTTTGTTGATTTTACCTGATCTAAATCTGCTATATTTACACTTAAAATGCAATTATCGAATTCAAACCAAAAAATTCAGTCCAAGTGCAAACATGTAGTATTCAGAAGGGTTTAGACTGTGGTTCTGGAGATTAGCTATTCTTACGAGAAATGATACAAATGCAGTCCAAAGATGGATCCGTCAATGGAGTTACACTAACCTCCTGAATCTGATGTGTAGACGATGTGTGTGTGTTTCAGTGTCTCTTCAGGACATCACGATGAGGAAGGCTTTCCGCAGCTCCACGACCCAGGACCAGCAGCTGTTTGAGCGCCAGTCTCTGCCCGTCCCGATGCAGGAGACGTACGAGCTGTGCGAACAACCTCCGCCGCTCAACATCCTCACGCCCTACAGGTCAGAAACACACCCACAACTCACTACTCTGACACTGCACAGATAAAACTTGGTCAAAATTATTCCGGTTGAGTATGACGTATGACGTCGGAAGTAATTTGTTGAGGTCAATTTGTAAAGAAAGACATATATAATCAAGCGAGCATATTTATAGACTAAACACGTAATACGCATGTGCGCACTGTCTGCGTTTTCATGTTTTTGAGGTTTGCACAGAGACACCCTTTTTTCTAAAAATCTTTAAACTTGTTTCAAGGATTGTGTTCTCGAGCCTCAAACACTGTTGTTGAGGGTTTTCTGTTAATAAGTTAATAACTAATGATCTTTACAACGGAAGTGAATCAATCAAAATGAACTTTATCTGGACAATAACTTTATTCTAGAGTAGATATAACTTTATATCTACTTTAAATCGCGTATCGAGTTCTCCGCGCAATTTCTCACGAAACTTGTGTCGGAGTACGTATTGTTTTCAGAGAAACACGTGATCAGCGAAAAACGAAGCCTCACTTTCTTATTCTTTCCAGTCACTGAATGCTTCACTTGCGTGTTGGGATTTGAAACCATTTGCTATTTATTTATTTATTTTTATGTATAAATAAGCCTGTAGCCTATGTTACATGATCATATATTCTACCAAATCATAAAATAATTAATAACCATTTACTTGCATCAAGCAACCCTGTTGATATTTTCATAATTCGTAATAATATAATTGTTACATTTCATTTATTAACACACACACATTAATATGTGAATTATATTATCAGAAAACCAGTCCCTCCAGAAAAACGCGATTATGCGATCACATGATTTAGTGCATGATTAGCATATTATGCACTAAAACTTAGCAATTAGCATAAGTTTGCATATTTATGCGGGGGCCACATTTTTTCAAATACGGCACACAAATTGCCGATTTCCGTGCAAAATATGCGGGCTTGCATGATTTCATAATCCTCGCATTTTTGTTGCAAAAAAAGTCACATGTCATACCAGAAAGTTGAAAAATGTTGCGTTTGCTTCACCCATGGAAACGTTGTGAAATGTCGTAATTACGCAATTTTTGCACGTTACCGCAGTTTCATTGCATAAAAATCCCACATATTCCATCACGTTTTAGAAAAGTTTCGTTTTTTTCGCCCACAACAATAACAAAACACGTTTTTCTGGAAGGACAGGAAAACTGAACATTTAGCATTGTCAGGCTTTTATTTGTGCTTAATAGATCAAACACTGGCGCTGCGCAATCGTGTGTACGACTCGTCGCCACTCTTTCAAAACTCTTAATGCTTTGAATCTTTTCGAACAATCAGGGTAAACCCTCAGTACTTCATGAGGCTTCATTTGCCCATTTCTACTGTAAATGTATGGAGGTTGGAGCAGGTTTCACTCAATAGTTACACTTAAATTTATTTTAAGAGTGCTGGCCTAATGATTAGAGTATATATATGGAAGAAAGAGGCCGCACTTTGCATAGACAGTTTATTTTACAATTAACATTTTTTCTACTCTAAAAAACACAGGGTTGTTTAACCCAAATTTGGGTTAAATATGCATGAACCTAACCGTTGATACGTGAGGTGGAGCAGAGGAGTACTCACAACGAACAATAACTGGAGAAGGAAGACTTCCCTTATCAAACACAGACAAACTCATGAGAAACACTGCCAAACACTAACATCAAACGACAAAGATTGAGGAAAAACACAGGGAATATATACATGGCAAACAAGGGGAGCTAACGAGACTAATTAACAAGACACTGCTGAACTAATGCTCTAATGAGGATGGTGATCACGGGAAACTGAATTCAATGAAACCAGAAACAGACAGACATGTAACAACCGTTGGGTTAAAAAATTAATTTTAATTAAAAAACGTAACACAAATTCTGGGTTTATCCTTATTCGACCCAAATTTGGGTTGAAACAACCCATAATTTTTAGAGTGTATCCAACAAAAGTGTATCCACCTGAGATGGGCCAGTTATTAGACTTACCTTCTACACACTGTTAGAAATGTAAATAAACTTTGAATATTATGAATAAAGTTAGTTAGCTTTGGATAAAAACGTGTGCTAAATGCATTCTTTCGGTTTACCAAGCTTTGTTTGTTTTCTTTTTATTTATTTAAATCCAGATGATTGATTAACAAAACATTGATTGAAATTAAGGTACAAATTATAAAAATAAAAAGTGGTCAAAAATCATCTCCGTCCCTCTCCATATCTCCCGACATATTGTATTCAATCCATTTCCTCACCCTTTGTGACATATCACATTATTTTCTTTAATTAACAGATTAAATTAAAACAAAACATAAATAATATCATAAAATTGTAACAAATACATGAAACCAAATAAATGTACTTAAATGATTACAATATTCATAACTATAAGACAAACATCATCGAAGTACGTTTTAGCAGAAAATATTTTCTTGCGTTATAGCGCCCCCTATCGCTGTAAACGAATGAGATTTGGCACGTTTGCTCAGACTGTCCTGATGTCCGCTTCCACCAATTTTTGTGAAGTTCTGACATTGCATTAATAATTTACAGGTCAGTTAGTCATTATGGGACACATTCAAAACATGTTGGCTAGTCAAAATTGCTCTATTTTAGTAGTAAATAATGGGGAGAAAGACACATTGGTATCAGGATCAATCTCTCACTGCTACATCAGACCAACGGCCTTTGGATAAACAAGAATTACAAGAAAATACTATTTCAAATTCAAGGTTTCATGTTTAATTCAATTGTCATTTCTTTAATTATTTGTGAAATTTACTAGAAATTTCTTAGTCTATATTTTTCCAAGTAAATCCTATAGCAAATATTTTTTTGGACATCAGATGTTCCTCACAGGTGGAGATCTTAAAGTCTTAAACTTCTTGAGACACTAAAGTCTGCAAAAAAGTCCCAGTACGACTCAAACATTTTCCATCAAACAACAAGAGCTGCTTCATATTAATCGTATATCTGTATTCTCTCACTCAGTGATGAGGACGAGAGACTCATTTGTGTCAGTTTTTGTTTCTCCTGAGGACTTTTAGTTGATATTTATACTCTATTCTCTATTCTTGAGTCCCTTGAGCAATGAAAGAGCGCTAACGTCTCGGTCTTAGCCTTCGTTGCCGCTGTTTGCTCGTGTGCGTCACACAGACAGAGTGTTTCTGGGATTAATGCTCATTACTGCCGGCTGGGACAATTATTCCAGAGCTGCGTAATAATATGCAGGAGTTTCTTTCTCTCCGTCTCTTCGCGCGTTTGCTCATTACTTTTTCATTATTTCATTAGACGTCATCAGCACAGATGTTTCCTCTCCTGTCTTCTACTCTTACACTACTCTTACTAAAGACATCTGTTAAAGAACGAGTCGTCCTCAACTGTTTGTATTCAATCCTCAGGTTATATTCCAGAAGCAAATGCAAATTACAAAAAGTATCAGTCATACATTTGTAAGAGGAGAATAAGCACAACAGTGACATGGGTATACTCTAACAAAATGCTGGGTTGTTTCAACCCAAATTTGGGACAAATATGGACAAACCCAAATGTTCGGTTAAAAATGTACAACTGAAGAGTTCAGATGCAAAAGCCTCTAAGTGCCATTTGAAATTTTCTTCTAAAATGACCATTTTTATCAAACTTGTATATTTAAGTTCAGTAATTTCACTTAAATAACAATTAATAGGTAATCTTCATTGCCATTTAAGTGAAATTACTGAACTTAAATATACAAGCTTGATAAAAATGGTCATTTTAGAAGAAAATTTCAAATGGCACTTAGAGGCTTTTGCATCTGAACTCTTCAACTGTACATTACATTTTTAACCCAATATTTAGGTTTGTCAACATTTGACCCAAATTTGGGTTGAAACAACCCAGCATTTTTTAGAGTGTACTACCATTCACTAGTTGGTTAATGTTTTTAGATGCATTTTATTTGATCAAAAATACAGTAAAATTGTGAAATATTACTATGTGAATAAATATACAGTAAAGTGTAATTTATTCCTGTGATTTTCATCATCATTACTCCAGTCTTCAGTGTCACATGATCCTCCAGAAATCACTCTAATATGAGGATCTGATGATCAAGACACATTTATGATTATTATCAGTCATTTTTGTGATAAATTCACTTTTCAGGATTCCTTGATGAATAGAATGTTCAAAAGAACTGCGTTTATTTGAAATAGAATCTTTTGTAGCATTTTAAAAATCTTAACTGTCACTTTTGAGCAATTTAACGCATCCTTGCGGAATAAAATGATCAAATTCTTTTTGATCACGATTCATTTCAAATCAGCTGATAGAATCCAGGACTAAGGCATCTTTATGACTAGAAATTGAAAGCATTTCTATGTAAGACTCTACAGCTCGAGTGCGTGTGCGCTGGCCGGCCGTCAGGAGAGTCCCGAGGTGTTAATTGCTTCATTTGTGCTGGAGGGTTTTCTTTGTTCTTTTTGTGTTTGCTCATTTGGGCATTTTGATCAGCAAATTCAAATTAAAGGAGCGAGAAGGAGAAAGAACGTGTGAGAAACAGAGGAGGTGTAATAATCACCCGTTCATACATTTCACAGCTCTCGTGTTCAAATCCTGATTATTATGAGGGGTTGGAATACTGATAACTGGGGATGTGTGTGTGTATATATGTTTATATATAATTTTATTTATATGTATATATATAATTATCTATCTATCTATCTATCTATCTATCTATCTATCTATCTATCTATCTATCTATATATATATATGAAGAGTTCAGATGCAAAAGCCTCTAAATGCCATATGAAATTTTCTTCTTTAATGATGATTTTTATCAAGCTTGTATATTTAAGTTCAGTAATTTCACTTAAATGGCAATGATAATTACCTATTAATTGTTATTTAAGTGAAATTACTGAACTTAAATATACAAGTTTGATAAAAATCATAATTAAAGAAGAAAATTTCATATGGCATTTAGAGGCTTTTGCATCTGAACTCTTCATATATATATATATATATATAATTTATTTAATTAATAAAGTTAATATCAATATTTTTCTGTCTTTTGGCAGTGTTCAGTATTTATGTGTTTACTCTGAAATGACAAGAAACAATAAAAAACAACAACACTGACACAAAAAATGTGTAAGAAATTATATAAAATAAAGTAGAAAACATAACATTATTCAGTTACCCTCATGAAAAAACTGTAATATTGTATATAATATGTTACACACATAAATCAGTGAGTGAAGTCCAATTGTCATCAATTATCATCATAAAAAAGAATATTATATAATATAAACAATACATAATATACGTAATTATTGCTGTTGCAAGATTATATCAGCAATCTATGAAAATCAGGAATTATAATCATGAAATATATATATATATATATATATATTATATAATAATATCATACATAATTATTTCTATGTTGCATCAGTTTTAAATCACAGAGTGATGTTGGTGTATAATTATGTAAAAAAATATTATATTAATAATATTATACATAATTATTGATTTGTATGTTTAAATAAGCAAGTGGTGTCATAATATATATATATATATATATATATATATATATATAAATTATCTGAAATTTTGGTTTAATTTCTAACATTGAAAGTGGAAAGTGAAGTCAAATGCATTGGATTGTGGGATACAGGACTCCATTTGTATTCTCTTCACTGCATATTTCTGGTCATCTGTGAATTTATACACACTGTGTTCTGCATACTAGTTTAGCTCAGTAACAGTAGAGTCATCACACTTAACACACCTGACCTGTGTCCGCCTCTAGGGATGATGGGAAGGAGGGTCTGAAGTTCTACACCAACCCGTCGTACTTCTTCGACCTGTGGAGAGAGAAAATGCTTCAGGACACAGAAGACAAGCGGAAAGAGAGGCGGAAACAGAAGGTAAAGGGGGTGGGGCAGTGTACGAGGGGCGTGGTCTACATGCAAATGAGGCGACCAGAAGGGGTGTGGTGTGTGAGGGGATCGACCACTGAAATACAACATCATACTTCAGACTTTATGGGTTTAGTTCAGTCATTGTTCACTCACACATATGCGTATACACACTCATAAACACACACACAGAATGAGATTAGCTAGCTAACGTCTACAGCGCTGAAGTTTCTTCCCGTCGTTCGTTCATGTTAAGTGTGTAAATGGAGTGGAAGTGGGGTTGGCTGCGTTCGATCAGACGGGACTAGATTACATTAGTCCAGTGAGTGAGTGATGCCTGGAAAACTGCTGAAAGTGCATCAGATCAGCTCACACACACACACACACACTCCAGACACGTGCTGGAGACAGTAGCGGCTCCTAGCCATTAGCACTAGTCTTAGCGCTAGTTTATGATAAACATTGTACGCTATATCTTAAACACATTAGACACACTTCTGGCAGATTCCTAATGTCCTTGCGTTATTCAGCCTGAGGGTGGCGCTCTAATGATGATTGACATACTTTGTTACACACAATAAACCTTAGAATAGGCTCTATGCACAACTTACTTCCGCATTCTGTGAAACAGGTCGCATCGCTTCCGGTTCTGGTCTATGTGCTTCATGATTTTTTATTTTTATTTATGTTTATTTTTTTGGTTTTACTCCATATATCTTAAAAGGAGCGAGCAAAGATTAGCATAACCAGTGTCCCTCACATATGCTAATTGATATTTAAACGTTTGATATTTTTTTCTTCTTCACAGCAACGTTTAGATATTTAAATGGAATAAAACACCAATAACAAAGTGAACTAGGTAGGTTAGCTGATTACCTTAAAAATCCATTAGTCAGTTCTTACGGCCGTTAACACTTTCTCTGACAAGCGGATGCGATGAGACCTGTTTTCCGGTTTTGTCACGTGACGCAATGTTGTTTTAGAATGGTGAAAAGTTAATAATCCCCTATGAGAATCCCAGTGAGGAAAACAACGTCATGTCTACTCCCACAAAACATAACAGAACTACTGTATATACCTTATGCACCAGAGAAACATGGGCGCCGTCATCTTTAGAATATTGTCTTTGAACGGTTCTGTATATTTCTATGGCATCGCTGTCGAGGAGTATTAACTGGTGAAGTGGATACTTATTTTAGAGTTAACAAACGTTATCATGAGCATTGTAAAGCAGATGTCTTAACAAATGTTGACCGGGAAATTTTTAACGAGCAGTTCATTCATACCTATGCAAGATCGCTGTGGTGGAAATACAGACCGGAAGTCAAAAGACAACGAGCGCAAGCAACGCTGAAAAGGGGTGGGGCTACATAAGGTCTATTTAAAAGCTATTCACATGAGCACGTTTAAACTAAAGGGTTTATACTTTTATTAATTTGATACGCTGGCTTCTCCATATAGAAGAACTATGAGCTGGTGCACACACACATATCTGAACAGCCTAGGAGTGTGGTCGTCTTGTTCTGTAGGTTTATGTAAGGTCACGTAACAATGGTTGTCTATGAGAGCGCGCTGCAGTTCCATTTCCCACCACAGATTTACATAGGGAAACAGTGGGGGCGCTGTCGAGCTGGAGACCAGCTGCTTAGGGTCAGATATACATGCGCTACATTTTAACTGTAATATAGGCCTACGAGTTAAAATAGCTTTTAATACGAGTTAAAATAACCCATAAAATCTGAAAAATATTTGTTGCAGAATGCTGAACACATTTATAATTTATTATTTATTATAAATTCAGTGCATAGAGGTATATGTTTGGATGAATATTTCAGTGGGGCTCTACAGACAGACAGACAGACAGACAGATAGATAGATAGATAGTTAGACAGACAGATAGACAGATAGATAGATAGATAGATAGATAGATAGATAGATAGATAGATAGATAGATAGATAGATAGATAGATAGATAGATAGATAGATAGATAGATAGATAGATAGATTTTGTTCTAAATTCACACAGACACACACACACACACACACACACACTGCTGATGTCAGCGCTGCAGTAGTGTGTGTGTGTGTGTGCTCAGTGATGACAGGAGGAGAGATGAGGGAGGATCGACGCTCACAGAGGGTTTGATATCAGCCTTCATTCACTCTATCATCCGCACTTATTGATCAGCTTATAGATGATGTCGTGTGCTTGATCAAACTAAGATAATATGCAATAATAATAAATGTAGTTACTATAATTGACTGTCGTCCTAATGCTCAGTAAACTGTGTGTGTGTGTTAACAGTAACAGTAATCAAATTGTATTATTTAGAGATTCACTAATTTACACACACACTCACACACACACACTCTTTTCTGTCTGTTTTATGAGTGTTGCTTCCACATTTACAGAAAGTATTGCTACGCTGCGCTCATAACACTGAGAACACACACCGGGGTCGCCTTAAAGGGACAGTTCACCAAAAAAGGAACGCTCAGTCATTATTTACATATTTTGAAGAATGTTTTTGTCCATACAATGAAAGTCAATGGGGTCCAAAACGATCACATCGATATGGATATTTTATTATTGTGATTTTAAATGTTCCCCATCTCCACCTTCACCTTCTAACCCTAACCCTTCACACAATGGAAATGTTTTTGTGATCTATATTGTGAAAGACACTTTCACACAGGATTAATGCATGTTTAAAGTGAAACTGTGTGTGTCCGTCAGGTCTTTTGTTCACGTCGTTCTGTCATGTGAAGTATGTGTCTATGGCAGCAGATCGTTCGAGCATGAGCAGCTGTTTACTGTGTTAGAGACGCATCACTGACGCCACACACACACACACACACACACACACACTCTGATCTGATCCGTTTGATTTAATGATACAGAACATTTCACCAAAACGATTCATTTTACTAAGAAATATCTGAATTATATTTCATTCTCAAAAGAAACTAAATGAGAAAAGAAGAAAAAATACTGTATATTTTGTCTATTTTTTAACATTATATATATATATGTGTGTGTGTGTGTTTGTTATGTTATTTAGTATATAAATATACATATATATGTTCATAAATAGAAGAGGCAAAACAAATTAATTCTCAAAAGAAACGTGTGTGAGTGTTTGTGTGTATATACATATTGCAAAAATTATGTTTATTTACTATCTATCTGTGTATCTATCTATCTATCTATCTATATTATATATTATTTACAATATTATACAATATTTATAAATTAATAAATAAATTTATAAACATATTATTTGTACATATACAATATTTATAAATAGAAGAGGCAAAAAAAATCCAAATTTTGATATAGTATTTTCTGTTATTTTTACAACAATTGTTTTGTTATATAATGTAATGTAAATATTTTGTGCATATGTGTGTGTGTGTATAAAGAAATGTCTGAATCATATTTAATTCTCAAAAGAAAGGAATGAGAAAAGCCGAAAGATTTCTGGTGTACTCGTTTCAAAAACTATTTTATACTACAATATATTTTAATTATACAATGATATATACTGTATATATTACTATTCTATACCATATTCTACTATATTTCTCTATTGTGTTTGACTCTATTGTGTTAAATTGTTCTTTTGTGTTGTGTAGTTGCAGGATCCACACATGTATGATCAGGTCTATAAATATTTAGACCTTCCAGTGCAGGTACGACCACGCTTCAATCCGCCGTATACTCAAAAATGTAAAATAGTAATCAGATATAATGAGAAAGTAATAACACTCACTGTGTGTGTGTGTGTGTGTGTCCAGCTGAAGAACATCGATCGCCCCCATGATCTGGAGAAGGTCCCGCGAGCGCCTCACGACCGGAAGAAGGAGTGGCAGAAGATGGCGCTGGGGGCGGAGCTTGCTGACGACGACATGGGGGACACACACACAAACACCAACGGGTCGACAACCTACCAAGAACACAGGTGAGTAAGTGTGTGTGTGAGTTAGTGTGTGTGTGTAACAACCTTACAGCAGCTTTAATTGAACATCTATTGTATATAACTGTATTTAGTGCGTTAAACGTATATGAATGATTCATAACTGTGCTGAAGATGTTTTGCTCAAATATTAGATTCAATCAGATTTTGACTTGCCGAGTGACCTTCTCTCCATGTCTGACCTGAGTGAGTGTGTGTGTGTGTGTGTGTGTGCAGGCAGATGTACATGGATCATCTGGACGGGTCGTTCTCTCTGGCTGCGCTGCCGTACTCTCAGATGAACGAACTCCTGAGTCGCAGCGGAGAGAGAGCATTCGGACGCCCACACGACCCTCCACCACCACCACCCACATACACACCCGACCTCAAACCAGCCTCTGTTATCAGGTACACACACACACTCACTCAGTAAAGAGAGCCATTTGCGTCATTTCTGAATGAATCAGCCGTTTGAACGAATCAATCGGGTGAACCAATGATTCAATGACTCATTCATAAAGAGAGCCATTTACTTCATTCCTGAATGAATCAGCCGTTTGAACGAATCAATCGGGAGAACCAATGATTCAATGACTCATTCATAAAGAGAGCCATTTACTTCATTCCTGAATGAATCAGCCGTTTGAACGAATCAATCGGGTGAACCAATGATTCAATGACTCATTCATAAAGTGAGCCATTTACTTCATTCCTGAATGAATCAGCCGTTTGAACGAATCAATCGGGTAAACCAATGATTCAATGACTCAATCATAAAGAGAGCCATTTACTTAATTCCTGAATGAATCAGCCGTTTGAACGAATCAATCGGGTGAACCAATGATTCAATGACTCATTCATAAAGTGAGCCATTTACTTCATTCCTGAATGAATCAGCCGTTTGAACGAATCAATCGGGTGAACCAATGATTCAATGACTCATTCATAAAGAGAGTCATTTACTTCATTCCTGAATGAATCAGCCGTTTGAACGAATCAATCAGGTGAACCAATGATTCAATGACTCATTCATAAAGAGAGCCATTTACTTCATTCCTGATTGAATCAGCCGTTTGAACGAATCAATCGGGTGAACCAATGATTCAATGACTCATTCATAAAGAGAGTCATTTACTTCATTCCTGAATGAATCAGCCGTTTGAACGAATCAATCAGGTGAACCAATGATTCAATGACTCATTCATAAAGAGAGCCATTTACTTCATTCCTGAATGAATCAGCCGTTTGAACGAACCAATGATTCATTCATAAAGACACCCGTGGCTCATTTAGTATGTGCGGTTCTAATGAATATACAAATGAGCCCCGCCTCCACTTACTCACTCGATCACACATTGATCTGTGCTATGATATATCAATATGCTACGCTAATAGCAAAGCAAGCATAAAAATACGTACATTAGCATTCGGTTTGGGATCAGAACTCACATTTGGTGTTTTTGTCTTCCAGCTCCAGCTCAGGTTTCTCCGACAGCGTCACTCAGTCTCCGGCTCGCACACCTGTCTTCCTCAACTCGAATGCCCCGCCCCCAGCCCCGCCCCCTTTACCCCCTCCCCCGCCGCCTCTGCCAGCCAGCCAATCAGGTTCAAGGATGCAAGGTTCAGCCCCGCCTCCAATCCCTCCCTTACCTTCCCAGCATCCACCGGCCATCCCCCCTGCCCCCGCCCCCCTCCAGATCGCCCCGGGCGTCCTTCATCCCGCCCCGCCTCCGGTGGCTCCGCCCCTTCACTCATCCCCCGCCCGCGGACAGCAGGCTTCGCCCACATGTGGCGATGGGATGGTTTTGCCGCCGCCCCCTCCTCCCCCTCCTCTTCCTTTCCTGGGAAACAGAAGCTCCTCCCCCTGCACGTCATATGCCCCGCCCTCCATGCCTTCCTTCCCCTCAGGGGCTGTTTCGTTGGCGCCCACTCACTCGGGTCACGAGGTCAAGCGGAATCCCTCAAACCTGCCGCCAATCAGCGACGCCCGCAGCGTCCTATTGGAGGCCATCCGTAAAGGTAGGCGGAGTTACGCAGTAGAGAGCGACATCTGTGATTATGATGTGTTTATGTGACAATTAAGACGCAGGACACTAATTCAAAGTGCATAATTAATTTTTTTTAAAAAGGAGATGAACCAGTAACTGTGCTGAAGCTCTATATTGAAGCTCGGTGTGTGTGTGTGTGTGTGTGTCAGGGATCCAGCTGAGGAAGGTGGAAGAGCAGCGGGAGCAGGAGGCCAAACACGAGCGCGTGGGGAACGACGTGGCCACTATCCTGTCCCGTCGCATCGCAGTGGAGTACAGCGACTCCGAGGACGAGTCCGAGTTCGATGAGGTCGACTGGATGGAGTGAGAGTGTGTGTGTGTGTGTGTATGTGTGTGTCCCGTCGCATCGCAGTGGAGTACAGCGACTCCGAGGACGAGTTCGATGAGGTCGACTGGATGGAGTGAGAGTGTGTGTGTGTGTGTGTGTCCCGTCGCATCGCAGTGGAGTACAGCGACTCCGAGGACGAGTCCGAGTGTGAACCTTCTTCCTAATAACGGTTCCATCAGCCAATCACACTCCAGGCTCCCAGAATGCTTTGCTCTCATGTTTTTTAACCACACGTTCCACTTGTTGTGCAACTGATGAACAATAAGGGTTTTTCGGCTGTCATACTTCTGTAATCCCCCACATGACAGGAGTGTGTCCCGCCAGAGTGTGTGTGTTACACGTTAAATATCATCGAAAGCTTCTTCCGTGTCAGAGATGTGATGTTCGATGTGTTTGTGCGACTGCGAAAGGAAAACAAACGAGGGAATGAGTGTGTTAAAGGACAACCCCGGCGCAAAATGAACATTTGGTCTAATTACACATTGTTACCTAGTCAACCGTTATCTGAGATTTGTTAATAGTTTTCTCTAAAAACAGTTTAGCCTATAACGCTAGCATAACGCTAGTATATGGGCATAGAGTAATGACAAATAAAAATCGCTTGTTATTACCACTAACAAGGCTCAAAATAGCCCCACAGTAACACGACAGCATAATAAGGGTCTCTACATTCAAATCGAAGCATTGAGAACTTTGTCATCGTCCATACATACAGTTTAATAAGAAGATATTTTATACACACAGACAACTTCGCGAATACAGGAAGAAGCCATCTTTGAAAAATAGTCTCTTCCAGTCGATCTACGAACGCCGATCCAAGTGCGCTGGTGAGATGTGAATAAGGTGATAAGGCGAGCGTGAACAGTAGTCTACGTGTACATATTGAAGAGAAGAAAATAGTTCGTGTTTGTGTTTCTTACCATATGAGATTCTGCACAGTTCAGCGCACTTGGATCGGCGTTCGTAGATCGACTGATCGAGACTATTTTTCCAAGATGGCTTCTTCCTGTATTATTCGCGAAGTTGACTGTGTGTATAAAATATCTTCTTGTTAAACTGTATGGACACTGACAAAGTTCTCAATGCTTCGGTTTGAATGTAGAGACCCTTATTATGCTGTCGTCTTACTGTGTGGCTATTTTGGGCCTTTTTAGTGGTAATAATAAGCGATTTTTATTTGTCATTACTCTATGCCCTATATACTAGCGTTATAGGCTAAACTGTTTTTAGAGATAAAACTATTTACATTCGGCAATCATTAAAACAAATCTCAGATAACGGTTGACTTGGTAACAATGTGTAATTAGACCAAATGTTCATTTTGCGCCGGAGTTGTCCTTTGAGGAGGAGTGCGATCTCTCGTTCTGGTCATATTTCACTCCGCAGTCTCCATCAAGGAACAGAGAGAGATTCTGCATCACTACACTGATAGAATTTGGACAAAACACATGTTAACGTCAAGAAATTGAAGTCCCAATTTAAATATACATATATATTCAAATTATTTTATAATTTACATTATTCATATATGTGTGTGTGTGTGTGTGGGTGCGTCGCTAAAATGGTCATGATTTTGCTATCTAAACATGTATTTCGGGGTGAAATATGACATTCACGAGATTCATTCAAATATCGACACTTTCCCATAAACATTGAACCTGTGGCCTTTTTCTCGGGCCTATAAATGGCAATTTATTAACAAATAATAATAATAACAGTTTCCCAAACAAACATGGTGCCGTTCTGAAACGTGTGTGTGTGTGTGTGTGTGTGTGAGGGATGTGTGATGGTGATGTGGACGAGGCTGGGTGTGTGTGTTCCTCTTTCTTAGGCCTTACGGTGTGTGTAAATGTTGATGAGTTGAATGTATTCGTGCTGTTACTACTTCTGCCTGCATTTCTCCAGCGCTCGCTGTTTCTATGTTCAAGAGTTCAGAAACAAAGATTAAACATGATTTCAGATACTGTGTAACATGTGTAACTGTTTGCTTGAATTAATAAAAACTAATGTTTAAGCTTTATTATTGAGATGTTCATTCATAAGTGGAGTTTGGGGACATGTTTATACATGTATGTGGATTAACACAATCTTTTAAAATGTAAAATTAATAAATCTACTTTGGAAATTGTGGTTTCCAAGCTGGAAGATGTTGATCGGACAGAAAATCAGGTTGAAAACATTTAATTATCAAAACCAAGGAACGTTTAAGATGGCAGTTCAAAAATCGTACTATTATATGTTAATTTAACAATAATAAATATATTTTAGTCTAACAAATTAGATTAGTTTGGTTCCTTTTTAAATATATAAAACCTTATTTTTTAGGAAATAGATGTCACTCTCCAGCGCCGCCTGTCGGTCAAACAGAGAAGCGCATGCGCTGAAGCCCGACCTGTCATGTTCAGCTGTGACCTGTAGATGTCGCTGCAGAGAGAGAGAGAGAGAGGCCGTTTCTCAATACCAAGTACGCAGACTTCGGACTTGCGTCCTTGGTAGTTCAGACTTGCAAGTTCGACTCTGGAGAACGAACTCCCGAGGATGCGAGGTCGCAAGTCCGGTTCTTCTGCAAATGGAACAGAGCGTACTTGATCGCGTCACTCAGCACGCTCTACTCTATATTTTAGGCAACAATAAAACGAAATTTGCTACAACTCTGCATATTTTCGTCAACAATAAGACGAAATATGTTATAAAACACCCCTCTGACTCTTCATTAACAAAAAACAACATAGCCTGTAATAGCCTAATGGCCATGTGGTTCAGGCAACGCGATTCTCTTCACTGCATATTATAACAAAATGAACATGATCTTTTTGTTTTCATTTTAAAAATATGAAACATTGGATTTTTATTGACATTTATCAAACAGAGACAGGGTTATGTCATTTTATTTTATTGTTCATATAGTGAAGACAAAATAGCCATGAAACCTTAAAAACTAGGCTATTTTATTTTATTTTATTTTATTTTATTTTTTTGCGCCATGGAACAAATTATAGTTTAATGAGACCAAAGATAGACTTATACACAAGACGAGTTATACGTCAAGGTTTATCCACTAGACTAGAGAGATCAGAGCCGGCGGCAAACGTCAGAAGCACTAGCCGAGGATAAGCTGTTCCAGTCGGGGTTGATCTCGCTGAGTGTCCGCTGAAGGCTTGGATGTCAGAACTCCGAAAACGTCAGATGCATTTTACAATATAGGCGCTATCTTTATAAATAAACTACAGATTTGAGATTTAAACAACCACATTCTTGCCTGAAACATTACATTTTTTTTTTCAAAATTACATTTCATGACTCAATAACAGTAGTATTTTGATATTTCGCGGATTTTCTCCTCTCCCATTGACGCTTGCTGGTTGGTGCGAGGTGCATTCTGGGTTACCTGGCTATCTCAAGTCCACACAAGTCACCTCTCGATGCATCCTCGGTAAACGGGGCGGATCAAGAACACATCCGGGGATTTGAAGTGGACTGGACTTGGCTAGATGCGAACTTTGAATTGGAACAGTACTTCGGCAGCGACTGATGACGTTTCACAAGTCCACAAGAACACAAGTACAGACAAGTACGCATATTGAGAAACGGCCACAGTGTGTGTGTGTGTGTGTGTGTGTGTGTGTGTGTGTGTTCATGTTTTTCTATCCCGGCTGTGAATGCACACAGGTTCATGGGGACTTGTGTCACTGTAGGGACCTAAATTGAATCCCCACGTGTAAACACGCTTATAAATCATACAGGATTATGATTTTTTTTATGTAAAAATGCATAATGTTTCCTGTGATGGGCAGGGTTAGGGGTCGGGTCAGTGTAAAGGGACATTCTAGGGACAAAACCATTACGTCAATGGGGAGTCCTCACAAAGATAGCAAACCAGACGTGCGTGAGTGTGTGCGTGCGCGGGCGCGCGTGAGTGTGACTGAGAGAGCTAGCGAGATAGAGCAAGTGTGTGTCCTGTAGATGTCGCTGCAGGGGCAATAATAGATCACTGCGAATAGAAAATCATCTCATGATAAAACAAATCAAACAAGAGTGTGTTGTTCTGGTTGTGCACGTGACTGCATCGTAATTCCACAGGTGCGCGCACACTCACACACGCGCGACTCCCTCCATTTCAAACTCCTTAAATTCAGCTAAAAATGATTTTCAATTACTTTAATACGGCAAGATTGTCACAATCTTAACACAATCTTGATTTTCACAATTTAGCCTTGAGTGTAAAAATATGAAACACACTCATGCGTTTATTATAATCGGCAGAACTCCTCGTGCACAGAGACCACAGTAAGCTAGATAGTGTGTGTGTGTGTGTGTGTGTGTGTCTGAGCATTTTCCTGGAAATGAAGAGTAGTTGCTCGTTTAATCAATCCATACGAGACTTTATTTGCTGAATAATTGAAACACTTGAATGTTTAAACCTTCAGCTCTGCAGTGTATCGATAGTGTGTGTGTGTGTGTGTGTGTGTGTGTGTGTGTGTGTGTGTGTGTGAGTGTGTGTGAGAGAGAGAGATTGTGAAGCTGACAAAACAGATGATGAAGATGCTGATGACGTTGATGATGAACTGTTGTGCAGTGGGTGTGTGTTGCTAAGGTGAGAGGCGCGTTTCAATCACAATTCAGATGGTTTATGGCAAGCCGTTTTAGCTTTTATTTATTTCCAGGATATGCGTGGGCGCGCATGAATAAAAACACGTGAGCGCGCTTGAGAAACCCCACCAGACCAGAGACAACACGTGACCTGCAGACAAAACACTTCATCCACTGCAGAAATGTTAAGAAAAACTACAACTATAACGCAATTAATCCAAAATAAGATGATGCAGAATATAGGGCTGGCCCTCACACCAACACAAACTATAACGACAACTAAATAAGTTACAACACAATATGAATAATCAAATGTGAAAATAAAACACTGCATAGCACTGTACATTTCTAAATTGTTCCATCCACAGCAGCAATATTATTAAGTTTATATTCGCGCACCTGTCACTTTAAACGCGCGATCTCCTAAAGCATGGTGGATTCTGATTGGCTGTCAATGTTTTTATCTTTCTTCTAGAAAACTAAAATATTTCTGAAAGTAATTCCTTTGTGCCGTTATCGTTACAGTAGTTGTGATGTGAACTCTTCTATTCTTTTACATTTAAAACATAAACAAAAACACATATTTTTTTTATTATCGTCATAGTTATCGTGCTGTGTGAACGTTCTCTCAAAGTTTATACACAGTCAACTTCGCGAATACAGGAAGAAGCCATCTTTGAAAAAGAAGTATGTTCAAAGAAAATTCAAAATGATCACATAATATTTTGGAATGTTCCGTTACAGAAAACATTTTAAAATGTTTTAAAAAGCTGAACGTTTTGACCTTTCAGAGAACCTTCAGAAATAACGTTTCCATGACTATGGTGATGTGAACACTCATAAATGTCTGCGTTGTTGATTCTCTCACACTAACCGAGAACTCGAGGTCAGAGATGACGTCACTCTAATAGAGGTCAATAAAACACATTTAAAGCATTTACATGTATAATAAAAAAATAAAACTAAATATTTAAACAGCATTAACGGGGACCGGGACGCAGAGCTCAATGACGTCACGTCATACACGCCTGCAGAGGAAACAAACCAAATGTTCACTGGGAATTTTGTGGACTGGAAATTGAGACAATTTTGCATTTGTTTCATCTTTTTTTCACTCCGTGGAAAGAATGTGGGAACCAACATTTTCACAGTATATAAATCTTCTGAAACAAACTTTAAAAAGCTCCAAAAACATGTTATAAAAGCACTGAAATCAATGAATACTCACCGGCCACTTTATTAGGAACACTTGCTCCCTATTTGATTGGCTGATTGCAAAGTGTTTTTTGCTCATCTGAGGTGACATTAAAGGGATAGTGCACCTAAAAACGAAAACTTGTTCTTTTGTTCATCTTCGTGACACAAATGAAGATATTTGTGATTAAATCTGAGAGCTGTCTCACTCCTCCATAGGCTTCTATTGTAATTGAAATCTTCTTCTCTGTGGCCTCGAGTGAGTTCTAGTGTGACAGCGCAGCGCTTCTGGTGTACGTCTCACGCAGGCTCACGATTGGCCAGCATCACACACGTGACCAGCGTCGGCTAAAAAAAAAAAAAAAAAAAAAAAAAATAGATTTCCAAATAATTTAGGAATTCCAAATAATAATAGGATTCCAAATAATTATAGGATTCTAAATAATAAAAAAAATCCAAATAATAATAATTGAATTCCAAATAATAATAGAATCCGAAATAAGAATAGAATTCCAAATAATAATAGAATTGCAAATAATAACAGGATTCCAAATAATAATAGAATTCCAAATAATAATAAAATTCTAAATATAAATAGGATTCCAAATAATAATATAATTCAAAATAATAATAGAATTCTAAATATAAATAGGATTCCAAATAATAATAGAATTCAAAATAATAATAGAATTCAAAATAATAATAGAATTCCAAATAACAGATTTCCAAATAAAATATGATGAGGGTCCCTCAGAGTCTAAAGGGACTTTAAGCAACAGCTGTTGATAGAACGGCAACGGCAGCCGAAAGTAAACAGTTAACTGCCGTAGCTAAAGAGCGCAAACATCACTAAGCAACAGTAAAGAGGACGGCATAGGGGATAATTTAATCATAAGACTAAATACAAAAAGAAAGTGATTTTAAAAAGTAAGAGAAGGGTTGATTTAGGCATTTAATGATATACAGAAACGATTACAATGCCACATAACCTAAACCATAACATTAACTTTCTCATTCTGTCACGTAGTAACGACTACGGCAAAGTCTGGACAGAGAGAACTGCTGAGCTGAAGGGTTTCATGAGACCTGCGTCTGAACGTGAATCTGTATGAGAACTTCATCAGAGCTGGAGGAGGAATATTCATGAAGCCTCGTTAAATATGAATCATTCATCATTCAACACAACAGCTGCGGATAGTGATGACACAAACCAGACTCACGGTTTGGCCAGTTTAAACTGGCATTACAGACTCAAAAGCCCCACACATACTTATATATTAAAACTATAATACGTCTACTTATAATACTTGCCTGGGAGTGTGAAGGACTTATCCACACTTTATTTCCAGAACTATGTTCTTTAATAAAGCAGTTATTGAGGGGGGAAATCTGATTTTAGTTTACATGAAACTTCATTTTGCGGATAAATATCTTCACAATAGATAATGCTTCACAGTGAACTCTAAAGGTGATGATACACGGGGCAACTTTTGGGGTAATGTTGCCGTCAACAGACGACCAGAAGAGACACCCGATCTAAAGTATCCAGACAGAAATGTATTGCTTGTTTTGGGAACGTGCCCAAGCAACATTGCTGAGACAGTGGCCCTGTGTATCAGCACCTGTAGAGATATCCCTCTATTCTGGATCTACAGCCATGCTGATGCTGATTCTTGTTCTATTATGAACTCTCTCTCGTTTTCTTTGAAATACGGTGATTCTCCGGAGGTTGGTGATTTAGCTGCATTTTTTAACGTCCGCCTCCCACACCACAGACCAGGGTTCGAACCCCACTCGGAGCGGGTCGAGTAACAACAGTTGTGTCTGGTGCCGTAACCCGGGCGTCTGGTGCCGTGACCCGGCATCTGGTGCCGAACGTCTGGTGCCGTGACCCGTGCATCTGATGCCGTGACCCATGAATCTGATGCTGTGACCCGGGCATCTGGTGCCGTGACCCATGAATCTGATGCTGTGACCCATGAATCTGGTGCCGTGACCCGGGTGTCTGGTGCCGAACGTCTGGTGCCGTGACCCGGGCATCTGGTGCCGTGACCCAGGAATCTGGTGCCGTGACCCGGGTGTCTGGTGCCGAACGTCTGGTGCCGTGACCCGGGCATCTGGTGCCGTGACCCAGGAATCTGGTGCCGTGACCCGGGTGTCTGGTGCCGAACGTCTGGTGCCGTGACCCAGGCATCTGGTGCTGTGACCCAGGCATCTGGTGCTGTGACCCGGGCATCTGGTGCCGTGACCCAGGAATCTGGTGCTGTGACCCGGGCATCTGGTGCCGTGACCCAGGAATCTGGTGCTGTGACCCGGGCATCTGGGGCCGTGACCCAGGAATCTGGTGCCGTGACCCGGGCGTCTGGTGCCGAACGTCTGGTGCCGTGACCCGGGCATCTGGTGCCGTGACCCTGATGAGAGTAGGGTTTAGTGTAACGTGCGCCAGTGAGAGCTGTGATGTACAGCGTTTTACAACAACATTTTAACTCACAAATTAAAGGAATAGTTAAGCCAAAAAATTTGCCTCATGTCTTTATTTGCTCACTGTCATTGCAAAAGTGTTTTGCAGAACACAAAAGATTTCAAAACGACTTGAAGAACGTTGGGAACAAAACATTTCAGCCCAATGAATAAACAGACATTTCTTAAAATATCTAAAGTTCGGAACGACACGAATGAGTCCAGAACGATCGTTTTTAGGTGGACGGTCCCTTGCATTAACAGTTCCTCACACACAACCTGACAAGGCAATGAAAAACACGAGCTTTTCATCTTTTATTTTGTGTTTTGTATAAAATGTACATTCATTTCATGATGGACAACTTTACAAAATAGAAAACGCACCACACAAGTGAAACACGTAGGCCTACGCAATACTGCTTTGGCATGTACATTTGTACAGTAAAGTGCAACATGTGGCTTATAAATAAATCATAGGAATGTACATTCGTGATGCGTGTCGTCGCTCGTTCACAGCGTGTCGAGACGTCCTGGTCTCAGTAAAGTGCAATTGAACAACAGACGTCCGTCTGCACACGAAAGAGTGTTTAACCCCGTAAATCCTGTATCGTATTTGACACGTGAATTTCGAAGGCCTCTGGATGATGCAAACGCTCCTGACTGATAGTTATCAAGTAAACGTCCTCTTCAGCTCAGCGCATTCATTTAAGCAAGTAAACGCAAGAATAACTTTGACATTGTTATTGATATTTCATCTGCACAGAATTCGATTATCAGGCGAAAAATCATGATCATCAGGCTTTGTTCATCTCTCGATTATCATAGTATTGCATTGCATCATATGTTTTGATCAAAAATTGGGAGATAGTTATATACACTCTATGCAAGTAAAAGCCTGACGCTCGACAAAAGCTAGACCTCGCTGGGCGACCTGGAGCGGTACGAGCCGTTGCTGTGAAAGCACCCGCAGAAGAGCATGTAGAGCGAGCGCTGGATCTCCGGGTTGCGGTAGGCGTAGATGATGGGGTTGATCATGGAGTTGTACGTCGCGGGGAGCAGCGTCGCGTACGTGTACACGGGCGGATACTCGCGCTCCCCGACGAGACAGTAGATGGCGAAGGGGAGCCAGCTGAAGCCGAACGTGCCCAGGATGATGGCGAGCGTGGAGACGCCCTTCTTGGTGGCCACGTAATGCGAAGTGGTGAAGAAGTGCTGCTGGAGCGCGATCTGGTGCGCGTGACGACACACGATCTTGCAGATCTTGAAGTACAGGCTGAGCATGAGGACGAAGATGACGAAGAACGAGGCGGCGAGCAGAGTGAGGTTGGTGCGTTTGAGCGGGCGCACGATACTGCAGGTGGACTCGTCCTCTAAACAGTTCCAGCCCAGAACCGGCATCAGTCCCAGTCCGAGAGACGCCCCCCACGTCCCCAGCAGCATCAGGTGCACGTAATGAAGCGTCTTCTCGGAGAAGTACGTCAGGGCGTTGTAGAGCGACAGGTAGCGGTCGACGGTGATGGCCAACAGGCTGCTGATGGACGCCGTGAAGGACGCCACCAGGAAGCCCACCGTGATGAGGCTTATGGTCTCGGACGACACCAGATACTGGAACGCGAAGTTCAGGATTAATCCCATCCCGGCCAGCAGGTCGGCGGTGGCGAGGCTGCCGATCAGCACGAACATCGGGTTGCGTAAGGTGGGCGAGTAGAAGATGATGGCCACCACGATGGCGTTCTCGCACGCGATCACCGTCCCCGACAGGCACAGCATGATGTCCCACGGGTTCACGTGGAAATCCAGCGTCGCCGACGAGAGCGCCAGGCTCCGGTTCCCGTCCAGCGCTTCGGCTTCCAGCCACGAGGAGGACGCGCTCGCGTTGAGCGCTCCGCTCTCGTTCATCTCTCCGCCTGGAGAGAAAACCATGATAAAAGGTCAATCTCAGAATAAGCATTTTATTCTCATGCACGAGGCAAACATTTGTATTTTATTCAAGCATAAGTTCATGTTATTCAAGAAATGCATCACGCAAATCTATATCATTTGCACGGAAATCAATTAGAGCCGAATCTGAGAAAGAGGCGAGCATTTTCCTCATGCATTTTAAAGCATTTTATAGTTTGGGAAATGCTTCAAGTAAATCTATAAATGGCTTTGCTGTAGAATTTGCATGACAATCAATTAGGGGTGTAACGATACCCTCATACCCACATATCACGATACTGAACTCACGATACGATATTATTGCGATACTCCTAAAAGGTTAACAAAAAATGTACTGTTGATTAAAATGCTCAATTTGATTTTACTTTGACTTGGTGCTTGTAACCCGAGGAAAATCAAAAATACAGAATTATTTTAGATGTATATGCTTGCACTAGATATATTTAAAATAATTTAGGACACTTTTAACCGGGAACATCAGATATTTGGCATTATCAGGACCCACAAATATTCCCCCATTGCATTATTATACATTATAATCAACATTATATATAGTAGTTTAATGTGGAATTGACACTAAAACTCTGTGACACTCTGAAAACTTGATTTTTTTTCTCACACAGTCATTTTTATTTTGGGGGGACTATCCACGATACGTATTGTTGCAGTTTTGTATTGCGATGTATTGTGGCACGATATATTGTTACACCCCTACAATCAATTGGAGCTGAATCTACGAAAGAGCATTTTCCTCATGCACAAGGCAAAAGCATAAATTCATGAATTAATTTTATTCAAGAGATGCATTAAGTCTATAAATGACATGAGAAACATCACTATACAGTAGCATGTGCATTCAAATCAATTAGAGCTGAATCTCAAAATCAAGGCAAAATGTATTATTTTATTCAATCATTAATTCATTTTATTCAAGAAATGCATTAAGCAAATCAATACAATCTATATCATTTGCATGGAAATCAATTAGAGCCGAATCTGAGAAATAGTATTTTCCTCATGCACAAGGAAGCATTTTAAATATCGTAAGCTCTTATAGTTTGGGAAAGCTCTAATAGTTAATTTGCATGAGAATCAATTGGAGCTGAATCTACGAAAGAGCATTTTCCTCATGCAAAAAGGAGAAATATGTTATTTCATTCAAGCATACACACTGTCAGCTCGTCTAGTTTGGGAAATGCATGACGTAGACTTCAGTAATGTCTGAAACTGGCGCTGTCCGTGGTGCTGAAGCACAATCACCAGCAGTTTATTACATCTTTTAAACATTGTAAGCTCTTAGTTAAGGAAAATGCATCCAATAAATGACATTTAGAGATTCTAAATAAGATGTAAAACCCACACAATAGTGACTAATGCAATGCATTCTTACGTGTCAAATACATTTCGCGTTCAGTTAAAGTGGGCAAACATAAAGACACTGCATTTAACATTATTCACAACAACATTAAGAAGTTTTAAAGTTCCATTTGCATGAAGAAATCTCAGTGAAACCCGAAAATCAATCGCAGCTGCTCGAGGAGGAGCGTTTTCCTCGTGCACAAGGAGAAATAAAGAGTTTTATTTGAGCGGAAACACAATCTCTTACTTTAGTTAGTCTTGTCAATCGTACTGAAAATCGCCCCAAATAGTGAATAATAATTTAAAAAAAAAAAACACTTTTACCCACGGAAAGAAAATCTAAAAAGCGTCAGACGCAATTAAGTTGTCAGGGTCTGAACTAAAGCACGCACAACTCCTGCATGTCTTTGGGTTTTGATACTATTTCGAGATTTCAGGGAAATCTCATCATTTAGAAAATCAGAAATGTTTGCAAGGAGAAATCAGCAAACACAGGCTTGAAAAGTGGCGCTTCAGTCGGACCAAATCATTAGTTTTGTTTGTGCACAAACACTTTGAGAGTTTATAATCGGCAAAATCAAGCATACCTTTTCCTTCACATGAGGCAAAACAGAGACTGAAAGGCTTTCTTCGACACTCCGCTCGCGTGCTCTTCCTCAGGTCAATCCTTCACTCCTGTCGGGATTCCCAGACATCAGTCCTGGATCCATGCGGGAACGGAGAGGGACTGACTGGTGCCTCGGGATCCAGGCGCGCGCTAATAAACCCCGGTGACGTCAGCGCGCGCCGCCGCCTCTCGTCTGCGCGAGACCGAGGACCATCAGCGATCTACTACAGGTGAATGAATGATCGCGGGGTCTGATGTGCATGTCATGTTTGATCCAATGCAACACACTGTTCTGAGCGCACGTGACAAAACACTGTGTTTTACACAAAACCTGTTTCACATTATTCACAACAACGCTTGAATGCTTAATAGATCTTACAGTATGTGCTGTCAGCAACGAACATGGTTGCATTGAACAATGTGAAGACAAAGCTTAACTGACACTGTATACACTGTATGTATATATAAACAATATTTTATATATGAAGAGTTCAGATGCAAAAGCTTCTAAATGCCATTTGAAATTTTCTTCTTTAATGATGATTTTTTATCAAACTTGTATATTTAAGTTCAGTAATTTCACTTAAATAACAATTAATAGGTAATTATCATTGCCATTTAAGTGAAATTACTGAACTTAAATATACAAGTTTGATAAAAATCATCATTAAAGAAGAAAATTTCAAATGGCATTTAGAGGCTTTTGCATCTGAACTCTTCATATATAGGGTTTGAATAAAGGGTGGGTTGTGAACTATATATACTGGAGGTATATTTTAAGGGGCTAATTGAGAAAATTGTTATACTTTTTATTAGTTTAAAAATAAAATAAAAATATCGGATTAATATCGGTAAAGCCAAAACTGTGGCATCGGTATCGGAAGTGAAAAAGTGGTATCGGGACATCCCTAATTTATATTTAATATTTATATATAAACAATATGAATGTTAGCCAGGGGAGAAGTGGCCCTGGGTTCTCCCAAGGTTTTTTCTCCATCCAATCTGATGGAGTTTTGGTTCCTTGCCACTGTCGAATTAAATATTAAATATTTAATATTTAATATTCAACAATATTATTGATCTGTGTTGTACTACTTTCATGTTATCACTGTGAAGCTGCTTTGATCTGTATTGTGAAAAGCGCTATAAATAAATGTGAATTGACTGTGTTCGACATATAACGTTAGGCATTGAGCCAGGTTTAGGCTTTAGTTTAATTAGGACATTTAAGTGGCTTTTATAGATAAAAAAAAACATTACTGGTATGAATTGCACATTAATGATGAAATGAGTCAGATAAAACCCATCTGATTGTGGGCTTATGCATCACCACACACTGTTAGACCTTACCAGGTTTTTTTTACAGTAAAATACTGGCAACGCTGTTGCCAGTAAATTACTGTAAAAATGCACTGAAACTAATAAGTTGTATTTTTTAGGTAACTTGAGTTTTAGTGCATTTTTACAGTAAATAACTGGCAACAGTGTTGTACAAATGCACTAAAACTAATAAGTTGTATTTTTTAGTTAACTTGAGTTTAAGTGCATTTTTACAGTAAATTACTGGCAACAGTGTTGCCAGTATTTTACTGTAAAAAACCTGGTAAGGTCTAACAGTGCAGTTATAGATGAAGGGAATCGTTCATTATTACTGTACGTTTACGTGTGGAATATGTTTGTCCCATAATCTGATACACTCACTGTTCTAGACAGATTTAAACGCACAGATATTACACACACACACACACACGTTCAATGATTGTGTGAGAAACATTGACACCCAGAAAAGCCTGAAGAAACGGTGTGTAATCGAGCTCTAGGGGTGAATGTTCTGTTCAACATCTGAATGATCACAGCACCTTTATAAGAGAGAGAGAGAGAGATTATACACATGATGCTCGTAACTAAAGCTTCTGGATGTGGTTTAATCAAAAAGAGATCTTAAAGTTTCTAAGGTTGAAGATAAAGCTAGAGTTTCACACACTGAAGAACATTATTCATATAATAATAACAGTAATGAGCAACTGACTGTATATGATCTGATTACTGTAATCTCAATCACCCGTTTCTGTATTCTGACAGCATACTTACATGAACACACACACACTCTCACTCACTCTCACACACACACTCTCTCACACACACTCACCCACAACCAACATCTCTCTCTCTCTCAAAGTGAGTCCTGCACCTTTTCCAATTTTTTGATTGGTCAAGCAAAGTTAACTATTTGGAAAGCATATAAACTTGAAAATGAGGATAAAGGATCAATACGGTAGAATTGTTCAAAGCTTTGGTAGAATCCAGAGTTAAAATAGAGTATGATTTTTATAAAATGAATAATGATATGCACATTTTGGTGTATAAATGCTAATTTTATTTTTGTAAAATGATGATGATAAATTAGTGTTTCAGTGGTATTGCTGAAATTTGAAGGAATTAATATTGTTATTTATTATTCATTGTTATTAATTATGAAAATGTGATTATTGTATAACATGAATAGAGAATAAAAAGAGTTAAACATCATCTTTCTCTCTCTCTCTCACACACACACTCATCCACAACCACCATCTCTCTCTCTCTCTCTCTCTCTCTCTGGTCTCCTAGTAACCAGCGCCGCTACACACATTTACTGCTGAAAACACCAGCGATTAGAACAATGTAAACAGAGCGAAAGAAAGAGGGAGAGAAATGTGAGTCACATACACACACACACACACACACATGATCCATACACTAATCATTCAGTAATGCTCTGTGCTCTCCAACCGATCAAACAGCGACACTTTATGAAAATGGCTTTATATGAATATTAAACATTCTCAACATGTTCCTATCAGCCTTTTACAGTCCGAACACACACACACACACACACACACACACTTATTCAAAATATTCACGTGTTCACATTTGCAGACAACACGTGTATTACAAGTGTTTTTTTTTGAAATGTTGTTTAAATATGCGAATGACACATTCTCTCATTAAATATGCACTCATTTGCATATAAATAAATCTAAACAGCAGGCGAAGCCAGTGTGTGTTGATATATTAGAGTTAAAGGTCTGTTGTTGTCACTCTATAAATCAGGAAATACCGTCAACAGACAGAAATCAACAGTAAAATGTTCTAGAAATCATGCTAATGTTAAATGAACAAATTGTGAATTGTGTGATAAAGTCAAGAATTGTGAAACATAAAGATGCAAAACCCTGTTAATCCGTGGAAGAAACAAGCGTTCATAGAGTCGGGAGAAAATAAATCACGTGTATTGAAATCAAAATACATAAACACTTAAAAATAGTATTTTGGATCTATTCGTGTGCGTGTATTCATTGTCAGTATTACATTTTGTTTTTTGTTTATTTATTTAATTTTTTTGTTTTTTACATTATAATTGTATTGTGTGACTTATTTTTAGATAAAATGTACTGCAAATGATTAAGTTTTTGTTGTTGTTTCTCAAAAAGGATAAATTATGATATTTTGTAAAGAGGAAACAGTAGCCGTTTCAAATCCAGATTTGTAAAAGGGGAAGGTAAACATAAGTTAGCTTCTTCCTTCTCCTTTTTTTTCTATATTCTTTTTCTTCTCTTTTGAACATGCTGAGATTTTGTTATTATTTTTTTTTGTTTAAATATGCTCTGTTATCAATGACCATGTTCTGAAGAGGAAAAGGAGATGAAAAGAAATAAATTATTCATTCATTCATTCTTTTAAAATAGATCTTTTCTGTGCACTATGAAAACCAATGGTTATGTGTTGCCTTAAAATGCCCTATTATGCTAATTTAAATATTCTGACGTTGTTTACAATATCCAAGATCAAAAACACTTCTACATTTCTCATAATATCCATTGCAGCATCAGTGTGTCTGAAACGCTTCGGTCGAAGATTCAGTCTCTCTAAGCTCCGCCTCTCTGTGCTCTGATTGGTCAGATGTCCCAGACGTGGCGTGGGCTTTACTGTATCAATCTCATCAAAGTGGATTTGCTTTGAAAACAGCGACATGAACTCAGATACACTACAGTGATTGAGGGCGGAGCTAAGAGACACTGCTCAGCCAATCAAGACCAGAGGCTGGCATTATGCAAATTAGCAACAAACTTACACAGACTGAGCAGGAAGTGAGACTAAATTACTGACGACTCGTTTGAGTTCAGAATCGAGAAGAAGACTTGATGCATCAATTACGTTCACCAACAGCTCTAATACACACTGACTGCATGAAAGGGAATATCAGAAAAGACACTAATATCTGTATCTTATATTTAGCTCACTTTGAGCTCGTCTATTCATCACTTTTACTTTCTACGTCTCGCTTCATTATTGTCCTGAGACTAATGGAGCTTTAATAATCAGCAGCACTTAACTAAGGGAGCGAGTGTGTGTGTGTGTGTGTGTTCAGAAGTTTCCACCTGCGGCCATGTGACTGATTTCTGCAGATGCTTGTGCTCTGGACTCACGAGGCACATGGACGAAGGAGAGAGAGAGAGAGAGATATTCACACACTTACACACATTAAAAAACAAACATGTGCACCACATGAAAGAAAATATTTGCATGCTTCATAGATTTCTTAGTTTATTAGTAACCAATCAGCAGTAAGGGGCGTGTCCACTCATGATGGGGAGGAGAGCAAACCAATCAGCAGTAAGGGGCGTGTCCACTCATGATGGGGAGGAGAATGAACCAATCAGCAGTAAGGGGCGTGTCTACTCATGATGGGGAGGAGAATGAACCAATCAGCAGTAAGGGGTGTGTCCACTCATGATGGGGAGGAGAATGAACCAATCAGCAGTAAGGGGCGTGTCTACACATGATGGGGAGGAGAATGAACCAATCAGCAGTAAGGGGTGTGTCCACTCATGATGGGGAGGAGAACAAACCAATCAGCAGTAAGGGGCGTGTCTACACATGATGGGGAGGAGAATGAACCAATCAGCAGTAAGGGGTGTGTCCACTCATGATGGGGAGGAGAATGAACCAATCAGCAGTAAGGGGTGTGTCCACTCATGATGGGGAGGAGAACGAACCAATCAGCAGTAAGGGGCGTGTCCACTCATGATGGGGAGGAGAATAAACCAATCAGCAGTAAGGGGTGTGTCCACTCATGATGGGGAGGAGAATAAACCAATCAGCAGTAAGGGGCGTGTCCACTCATGATAGGGAGGAGAGCAAACCAATCAGCAGTAAGGGGCGTGTCCACTCATGATGGGGAGGAGAATGAACCAATCAGCAGTAAGGGGTGTGTCCACTCATGATGGGGAGGAGAATTAACCAATCAGCAGTAAG